CTCGCCATTATTACTCCCACGGTTCGTTAATACAAGATGTTTTGAAGATTTTTTACTATATAGACTACACATATAGACCGAAATGAGTGAACAAACACATTAAAGTGTGTCTATATACATCCGATTCAAACAAAACAGAACATCTTATATTTGTGAACAAAGAGGGTAGAAAATCTTAAAAAAAATTCTGATTTAGCAAAATATCATAAAATCATATGGATAAAATCTCGCCTCAAATTGTATTTGCATATCACTAGAAACATTAGAGATGGTATAAATCCGAAAAGCATAACAAAATTTAGGGGCAAGATAATTTGTAGGTTGGTTGCCATGATGTATTTACAGTGACGCTGCTGTTGCATGTGGATGTGGTATCCAAAACCAAACAGGATCGAATCATTAAAGGGAAACTAAACAAGAGAGGGCGATTAATCATGTTTGATTGCTCTCGTCAGATCCATGGCGATTACTTTTCTATTTTGGACCGAGAACAAGTAGAATTTCCTCCCATCTGGGGAGCCTAGTCAGCTAGCGATGGACAGATATGGGAAGCTACAGACACCTATGCTTGGTGCCGCCTGATGCTGCTGCCTTGCCTTGCCTCCTGTAGGCGGCGCCAAGCTGCCTCTGGTGCCTCCACCGGACCAGGCTAGAGCACCGGCCGGAGAGACGGAGACGACGATGATTCGTTAGAATACAGGTGCTGTATTCTTCTGAATTCAGATCTTGTCGATCCAAACAAAACTTTCAGCGGCCAGCCGGTTAGCTCGCGACCGACACCTTCCTGGACTGCCTCTGCCCACGGTGACGGTTGGACTCCGTCTCCGCCGAGAATCTTTGCTGCCTCCGGGTGGCCTGCTTGGCGCAGACGGCATCGAGGTGCATCTGCTCGTGGCGGCACTCCTCGCTGCAGAAGGGCGTGTCCCCTCTGTACATGAAGACGTCGCGGTCACGCGCCAGTGGCTTGGCGCAGAGCGCGCACGCGTCCATCGCCGGCATGCCGGGCTCGCCGATCAGCTCGTTGTCGAAGAAGAAGGAGCAGGCCACTGATGGCGCCATGGTATATTGGTATGTGTGTGTAGGTGACTTTGCAACAAAATGCTCAGCAGAGCGTATATATGGTGCGTGGAGACTGGAGAGGGAGGAAGAGGAGAGCGAGCGAGCTGTGTGAAGAAAGGATGGGAAGGCTCAGGTATATATGGTGCGTGGAGACGGACACGGCAAAGGCCGTCGGAATGCTGTGGTCCGGTGCGCCCACGGGTCGGGCAATACTGCGCTCGGCTCCACCGAGAGGAAAACGACGGCAATCGTGGTGTGTCCGGGCGAGGTCGACCAGGTCCTCAATAATGAACGTCCCAGTTGATGTAAGTTGTGATATTTTGTGAAGGCTACAAATGTAGCTATATTTGAAAACTCTCAAAATACTTGAAGTATATTCCGGCTGTACTCGTGTGAGTATAAGATTAGGCAGCTTTGCTTAAACTAGCGCTAATGCTTAGTGCCGATAATTAGCGCGCCAAGCTTTTTGCCAACATACGAGACAGGTGCCCCACATGGCTAATAATGGACACCAATGCCAATCATGCACTGTACTGTATGTGATATTTTGAACAAACACGAGATGAAGGAAAGAAATAGACAGAAAATAATTCGGTGTCCCCTCCAGTTAGTGTCACACGGGAGGGAATCTTGAGGGAGCTGTGGTGCATCCGTGCGAGCGCGCATGCACGCCACAGCAGCAACTTGTGAACAGTGGACTCGCGCGCACACTTGCAGATCTCAAGCGCGTGCACCAGCTTGTTGCAGCTACAAGCAATGCGTGCAGCCACTTGCAGTCTTAAAAACTTGATGCTGAAGGATGCTGCTGGAGAAAAGTGCCAGATGGTCGAGGAGTTTAACTAGAGAGAAGTTGCCAGCCGGGTTTGTTTAGCCAGGTCGGGAATAGTGCACGTTGCCGTCGAGCGTTGAACGGATCAACTCAAGATTCCATTGGCACCTCGCAGTCCACCGGTCTTTGCTGCCGGCGAGGCATGCAGGTCTCGTCCTGGGGCGCAGCTTTTCTTGAGATCTGCACGCAATTTGTTTTGTTTTTGCAGCTTCCTCGAGTAGTAACACTGACGCATCGGACGTAATCATCGGAGTATGCGAACATCGGGAGAAGCTCGACATCTTCCTCCGCGAGAGGAGTGAAACTTGGCAGTATCTGACTACATCGCACGGGAATCTCATGGAAGCACTCGCGTCGACTGCGGAGTGCTGCCGACCACAACTAACCTTGGCTGCAGAGTGTGGAGTATTGGGCTCGCTGATTTTCGCTTCCAGGAATAAAAAAGCGGCCGTGCACGACAGCTGTTACTGCATAATAGTCCCGAGCTACATGGCGGTGACGGGGCACATCATTGGTTATATGTCGATCCCGAGCTACATGGCGGTGACGGGGCACATCATTGGTTGTATGTCGACACTCGACAACGACCAACGCGCCAAGCCATGAGGGTATCTCCAGCCGTTGGCCCCCATGGGGCGTCTAAAAGCGCCGCCTGGGGGCGAGCCGGCGACACACTCGGCGCTGGGGGCGGTTTTGCGCCCAGTCGTCGGCCCCAACCCGCCCCCAGGCGCCGAAATTGGCCCACTTTGCAGCCCATTTTCGGCGAATAAACAGTCCATATGGGCGAGAATAGGCCCATATTCGACGTGGTTTCGGCGTTCAATTATCAAAACACACATATTTCATCACAGAAAAATCAAATACTTCAACAAAATACTACAAGAACAAATAGTTCAATACAAATTATATAGTTCAACAAATAAAAACTCGTATTTCATCACGCGGCATCCGCCTTGACCCTCCATAGGTGCTCAATCAGATCTTTCTGCAGTTGATGATGCACCTGTGGGTCTCGGATCTCCTGACGCATACTGAGATAGGCAGTCCAAGTTGCCGGTAGCTGGTGATCAACTTCGGCTAGAGGACCCTGCCTGTAGTATGGTTCAGTGTCAAACACTGGGTCTTCTTGCTCGCTCGCGATGATCATGTTGTGCAAGATGACACAGCAAGTCATGATATCCCACATTTGATCTTTCTACCAGGTCTGAGCGGGGTACCGAACAACAGCAAATCGAGATTGAAGCACACCAAATGCCCGCTCCACATCCTTCCTGCAAGCCTCCTGCACCTTCGCAAACCAGGCGTTCTTGCCTCCTGCCACAGTGTTTGAGATCGTCTTCACAAATGTCGACCATCTCGGATAGATGCCGTCAGCTAGATAGTACCCCTTGTTGTATTGGTGCCCATTGATCTCGAAGTTCAGCGGAGGAGAATGGCCCTCAACGAGCTTGGCAAAAACAGGAGAGCACTGCAGCACGTTGATGTCATTGTGAGTTCCTGGCATACCAAAGAAGGTGTGCCAAATCCAGAGGTCCTGTGTGGCTACCGCCTCAAGCACCACACTGCAACCGCCTTTGGCGCCTTTGTACATCCCCTGCCAACTAAATGGGCAGTTCTTCCATTTTCAATGCATGCAGTCGATGCTTCCAAGCATCCCAGGAAATCCTCTTGCTGCATTCTGGGCTAGGATCCGAGCAGTGTCTTCCGCATTGGGTGTTCTCAAGTATTTGTGGCCCAAACACTGCCACCACTGCCTGACAGAACTTGTAGAAACACTCTATACTAGTGGACTCGGCCATGCACCCATAGTCGTCGAGTGAATCACTGGGAGCTCCATATGCAAGCATCCTCATCGCTGTCGTGCACCTCTGGATGGAGGTGAATCCAAGAGCGCCAGTGCAATCCATCTTGCACTTGAAGTAGTTGTCGAACTCCCGGATGGAATTCACAATCCTGAGGAAGAGCTTTCGGCTCATCCGATAATGGCGCCGAAATGTTCTCTCGCCATGAAGTGGAGCATCGGCGAAGTAGTCGGAGTAGAGCATGCAGTAGCCGTGCAGACGATGCCGATTCTTTGCTTTCACTCGCCCCGGCGCCGAGCCACCTCGACGCGGCTTTTCATTGCTCGCCAGCAGCTGGGCGAGGGCGGCGAGCACCATCAGATGCTCTTCTTCCTGGATGTCGCCGCGGCTTCCTCCTGCAGCAGCGTGGCGAGCTCTTCCTCCTCATCCGAGTCCATCACCGGCACAGTCAAAACGCCGAACACCTTGCGCTCGGTGGGCGTGTACCCGCCGTCAAACCGCGCCTCCGCGGCAGGAAACGGCGGCCGGAAATGCCCAGCTGCTGTGGGAGGGGCTGCCGCGGCGAAGCGCTACTATTTTCCGGCGGGGAATGGCTATCTAGCGGAGTAGGCCGGCGGCCGTCGCCGGGATACAGCTAGTGGTGGCCGAGGGCGCGGGGGTGCGAGGCGAGTCGGGGGGAAGAAAACCTTGACTTTTCCCTTGTCGGTGTGGGCCAGGCGTGCTTTTCCCTAGCGCCGGAGCCCCCAACGGCTCCCCAGCGCGCCGGGTTCGGCCTGTGACCGCCGGGCAGAAAAAAGGTCCGAACCGGCGATTTTCGGCGTCCTGGGGGCGCGACTGGGCCGTTTTTTGGCGCCGGCGCCGAAAAAGTGGCCTAGAGGGGGGGGGGCTGTTGGGGGCGCGGCTGAAGATGCCCTGATGAATCATCTGCTCATGTGTCTGACTCAGCGATGAGTCGTGAGAGGGACGTACAAACAAAGCGAAACAAACAGGTTACGGATATGTGTTCAGCCAATCCGTCGTGTCAATGTCTGATATTTTTCTCCGATCCGGCGTTCTGCCTACTCACTTCACACACACTGAATCTTGCTTCGTTTTATTCTAGGCGATTGCTTATCATCGTACTTAATTTGGCAACGTACTTAAGTTGTTGAATTGTTTTTGAGATATGTAACAACCCACTTCAACTGGTTGGCAACGTACAGTTGATGTGAACTATTACTAACATCTGTAGATGAAACTAGGAGATTACATTGCTCAAAACCAAGGGTAACGGATTGTCATTGTCTATGTCAAAAATCATCACTTATGCTCGAAGTGAGTACACAAATCACACTAATTCCAAACCGAGCCGCGTCTAACTGCGGAAATGACTAATATGGCCCACACGTCAGGGTGATATGGCAGGTACACATTAACTATGCGGTGAGGTGGACGGGAAACCAGAAGGAAATATGCCCTAGAGGCAATAATAAAGTTGTTATTTTATATTTCCATATTTCACGATAAATGTTTATTATTCATGCTAGAATTGTATTAACTGGAAACTTGATACATGTGTGAATACATAAACAAAACACCGTGTCCCTAGTATGCCTCTACTTGACTAGCTCGTTAATCGAAGGTGGTTAAGTTTTCTAGCTATGGACATGTGTTGTTATTTGATGAACGGGATCACATAATTGGAAGAATGATGTGATGGACAAGCCCATCCGTTAGCATAACATAATGATTGTTCAGTTTTATTGCTACTGCTTTCTTCATGTCAAATACATACTCCTATGACTATGAGATTATGCAACTCCCGGACACCGGAGAAATGCCTTGTGTCCTATCAGACGTCACAACGTAGCTGGGTGATTATAAAGATGCTCTACAGGTATTTCCAAAAGTATTTGTTGGGTTGACATAGATCGCGATTAGGATTTGTCACTCCGAGTATCGGAGAGGTATCTCTGGGCCCTCTCGGTAATGCATATCATAAGAAGCCTTGCAAACAACGTGACTAATGAGTTAGTTGCGGGATGATGCATTATAGAACGAGTAAAGAGACTTGCCGGTAACGAGATTGAACTAGGTATGAAAATACTGACGATCGAATCTCGGACAACATACCGATGACAAAGGGAATAACATATGTTGTCATAATGGTTCGACCGATAAAGATCTTCGTAGAATATGTGGGAATCAATTTGAGCATCCTGGTTCTGCTATTGGTTATTGACCGGAGAGGTGTCTTGGTCATGTCTACATAGTTCTCGAACTCATAGGGTCCGCACGCTTAACGTTCGATGACGATTTATATTATATGAGTTATGTGATTTGGTGACCGAATGTTGTTCAGAATCCCGGACGAGATCACGGACATGACG